TGAACCAGGTGTTAAAAATGAAGGCTCTGTGTGTAGTTGAGCTCTTGAAGGCAATGGCTATTGCTGTCAGCTGCTGTGATTGACTATGCTACTTGTTTAAGTTGTTCTTTCCCAAAAGGCTCCTTGAGGATTACTTTGTGGTCCTTACTGACACCTTTAAACTTTCAATAGCCATTATACTTACACTTTTTTTTTTATCCTGTCATAACATTTTCCATCAGAATTATATTGATTTTGTGAAAAATAATCCTCATAGTGACTGAATTTTTATGCCTGAAAAAAAGCTATTAAAACACTTGCACATCTCTCTCAAGGTGATACTATGCATTTAAAATACTTTTGTAATAATAAATACCACACAGACATATGTATCCAGTAAAGGGTTTCCATTTTCATGACACTTGCATCTCAAGAACAGACATATTCCTTAAAGGGGCAAAAAAAAAAAAAAGTTGCCAGCTCTGAATTGATTGACAGTTGTTTACTTAACTCTCTCCTTTTGAAAGCCTGCACACCTATTTCAACCTTGAACAGTTTCCAACTGTGGTATACTGGAACATTTTTTCATTTATTAAGTTCAGTGTTGCCAACCCAAACAAAGTATAATCAGCGATGATCCGAGCAGACCAAGCTGTCTAGCACCATACAATGTATCTGCATACTAATTTCCAAATTCCCTCACATTTCCAGAGAACTAATGGGATCATTTTCATTCTGTTACAGCAACTCAACAGTTACTGAATCACCATCTGTGTTTTCGTTAACCTGAATCAGATATGAATTCTGTTATTGCAAGGTAGAGCAGCTTGTTTAATGATTCTTAATCTTTTCTTTAATTAAATCATGCAGCCAACCTGAAAAATCTATCTTAATGCAAATTAGGAGCTTTTTTGGCATTCGCTTACAGTAATGCACTAATAAGGTTAATTTATGAAGGTTCTCTTCCAGTCTGTACAGATGATATTTGTTCACTGCATATTTTTAGCATATTGTCCCTTTTTGTAATATTTTAAGTAATAAAAACATAGTTATTTTTCACTTACACAAATGAGAGATACTGTAAGCAGCACTCTGTTAACCAAAACTAAATACAAAAAATATAAAGAATTCTAGGTAAGGGGAGAATACATTTTGTTGAATTTCAAATGCCAGTTCTCTGGAAATAACGGTATCTCTTTAACCATTTTCAGTTTTTTAGATACGAGAAGAGAGGGAGCTGAATAATTAGATGAGGAATTCCCTTTAACTTTTTTTTTAATCCTTTTGGATAGGGGTTAGGATTATTATTTCCCTTACTTTTTATATTACTATCAAAACTTACCAAAATGCAATTCACAACAGTTATGTAACTGATAATTTCAAAATACCTTGTCTAAATTCTCTTTTCAATGAGGTATTAATATTTTTATAATGCTAAATTCAGGGTAAACACACAATTACAGAGCTGGAAAAGATTATAAGAAATAGTACAGGATAAAATGAAATAGCAACTTGTAAGAACAGTGGGATTAAAAGTTAATAAATGAAAGAATAATACTAACCTTATCATTCTAATTACCTAGGAGGCTTTTCTTCATGACCCTGGCTCTAATCATATTATGTGGCAAATCATGTCACATTATGATCAAGACTTATAGGTGGTTTCTGTATTTACTAAGTCTCTTCTAAATCTACATGGAATAAAAATCATTTGTGTGAGTTTGTCATGGTAACTGAATTTCAGAGCCACGTATATGCAAAGTATGTTACATACATGTAAAATCATGAATATAAACAAGATAAGATATCTACCTTCAAACTAAAACTTACTGGAGGGGTTATTAACTTTGCACCACTCACAAGGTTTTCTAATGTGATTTCAATACTGTGACATCAGAATTTCCTGAAGTATTTGTATCTCCCTTGCATACTTTGGCCAATGTGCATGATTTTCCTCTAGTCAGATGGCCCTTGACAAAGAATAACTTTTGTTTCACATTATACTTTGGAATGTTCTTCTATATAGGAGAACATGTTTTGTGTTTTGATCCCATCATTTATTCCCAATCTGTAAATGATTGTCTGATTAAGTACATTTTAATATCACAACCTATTTCTTTAGAACATAACTGGGTATAGGCTATTTCCAAAATGAAATTTTCTTACTTGTTACTTACATGGAAAATTAAGGTTAACTTTTCTTTAAATGCATTTTGGGAGATTTCATTATGGAATTCTGAAGTATGAGTATGTCATTCATCCCCCAAAGCACTGGGAAACAGTGTAAGTAAAAGATGACTGCGGTGGCCTTAAAAAAGAAAAAGTAATAAATTGTAGAATACATTGCTTTGGTTACGACCAGGCCCCTAAGCTTACCTCCTTTATCTATAGTATAAATATATGCAAATCTTGACCCATGGTTTTATTTCTCCTAGACTTTGAAAAGATAAAAACAAGCTGATTAATGAGGTAACAAATGTATTATTGCCTTTAACTTCCAAAGTCCAGTATGGCTGTTGACTATATTTATTATACCTCCGGGTAAAATTCAGTCCAGAGGGAACTGAGCCCAACAGAAAGCATCAGTCATTTGAAGAATAATTACATAGCTTAATTATAATTAGAAACAAAGCAAGATACTAGTATTCAATTGCCACCAGCAAGTGGGATACAGTATTTCAAATACTTTGGGTCAGAGATTAGAAGTTATATAGGCATTAAAGTAGAGATGTTCTTTGGCATGAGTGAGATTCTTGTATTTGAAACCAAATGACACAGAAATAGCTTTATGTAGCAAACTGGTAAGTTACATTGCCTTTTCGCTTCTTTGAGGCAGAATCTATAAAATACTGAATTATTATCTTGTGGCAAAGCTGCTATTTTAAGAATTTTAAACTAATATTGACTGCTGTCAGGTTGGTTTCTAGATTTATTGACTTAAGAAGTAGATATAAACTGAGGTGAAGGCAAGGTCAGGTCGATATTTATCTTGTGAATCAATAGATTTTGATACTAATAAAAAAATGAAGCTCAATAAATATATGTGGTTGATAGAAGAAAAAGCAGATCAAAAAGTTTGTAATTTTGAAATTTCCTAAGCAAATTTGACTTGCCAGTTTCAAATATTATGGGATAGCCTATGCCCTAGAGGTATACAGGAGAAAATAATTCTGACAAGTAGTCCTGAGAACTTAAGCTATGTAATAGACATGCGCAAAATGTTTTTCAATCATATTGTATTATTAGTTATTAAGTTCTTTCCTCATTTTAGCTTTTATTTATCTGCCTCAGAAGAGAAGGATACATATAAGAGAATGTTTCATGGGATTAAGAATGTAAAGTGGGATTTTGTACAATTTTTAACCTAATGTAACTTGAAATGTAGTTCTTAGACTGAACTATAATTGCTTGGTTTACTTATATCTTAAGTCATCTCAATTCATCTCTATAGCCCCAGTGCGCTCCGAGGTACCTGTCTTACGCTGTTCAGGCTTCTATAACAAAATGTCACAGGGGGTAGCTTCTAGAGAGCAGAAACCTATTTCTCACAGTTCTGGAGGCTGGAAGTCTGAGATCAGGATGCCAGCATGATCAGGTGAGGGCCCTCTTCCAGGTTGTAGCTTTATCCTGGTGGAAAGTTGGCAGCCCTCTGGTCTCTTTTATAAGGACACTAATTTCATGAGGCCTCTGCTCTCATGACCTAATCACCTCCCAAAGCTCTACTAATGAGTATTGCATTGGGTTAGGATTTTAACACGAATTTGAGGGGGACATAAAAATTCAGATCTTAGCACTGGCATACTGTAATACAAAGATCTTTGATTAGGGAACAGATTTATTATTTTTCCATAATTCCTGACTTTAGATTGAGACCCTTCAATCTCCCAAATCAGTTCCAGGCAATAGAAAGTTGGTCCAATCCACTGAAGGCCACCTATGGGTAAGGAAATACATAAGAAAATTCTACAAACATAAGGTCTCTTCTCTCCAGGTTCTTGCCATCTAATGTGAGATGACCAAGCATATCAGACATGGAAGACTGTTTCTGAAGGATTATAGAGTTAGATAAGAATTGTCATATTATTAAATATGTGCATGAGACCCAGAGCTATGAAGTATGGTCACACTGGGGGAGATTTTGGGGTCCTAAATAAAATGGGAGTAGACCCATATTCTAGTCTGTATCAAATAAGTAAAACCCAAGATAACAGAAGAAATGAACAAATCCCTATCTTTGTCAGAACACTTATGAAATATTTTGAATAGAAAATTAGGTTTGAGCATATTTTTCTGTGATAACATCTTACTTATTAAAAGTTTAAGCTAGACTATAACCTTTAATATTCTAGAAGGTCACGTTTTTCCCTAGCCCACAGGAAATTTTTGTCTCAAATCTTATATCATGTTAATAAAGCTCTTTTTACAAAAACCACCTTCTATTTTGCATATTATACACCACCTCTAAACTTTTTTTATGGGCAGAGGATATGATGACATACTATCACCTTCAGGGCCAAGTAGTTTGCACATAGTAGGTCCTTATTCAACAAATGTGGGTTGAATAAAACTTCATGAGAACTTTTACTGTAATATCACTACTGTCCTCAACTGGAATTGGTTGTTAATGGATTCCCTGACAAAATTTTCCATTACCTAGATGTCTATGAGAAAAGATAGCACTGCATTGAGTGAACCATCTTATGTGTTTCCATAGCATATCACAATTTAAACAAATATTTGTCTACTTGCTATATTAGATTATGTTAAGAGAATGGACTACATTTTCCTTTTTTGGTACCTATAGGGCCAAACACACTACCTTCTATAAAGTGGGGACTGTCTTTTTTGAAATAGAATCCTCATATAGAAACTCGTGATAAACGAATTCTTATAATTTTATCAAATGAGGGAAAATTGTTAGCATTGCTTCTCTTTGCTATAAAGATACCCATTTACTTTGTGAAAGTAGGAGGAAAAGATAGGCTTTTTAACATGTCATCTTATTTTGTTTCTATTGACAGATTTATCAAGATCTTTTGCACATAGCGGATTAAAAGTATGAAAAATTCTTCTAGGTATACAGGCTCAAAAATTCCACGTTTTAGTGTGGATGCTACAATGCATGCTTATTTGAATAATCCAAACACTAATCAGGTTTGAACGCACTTTTAAAGAGAAGGAACACAGCAACCTGGACAGTGGTAAGAGTCACCAGAAAGGAGGAGGAGGGAGGACCCCTGGAAGAAGACAACCCTTTCAAGGTATAGAAGTTTATTGCTAATCTCACAACCATTTCTAGTCCACAACATCCAAGTACTTCTATCAAATCTGGGAGTTATGCTTCACCAAGAGGCAAAGATTATGCATTTCCCAAAGTGTGGTCTATAGGTAGGGTGACACGCTGTCACTGAAACCTAAATACTTAACAATAGTTAAAGGGGCTACTCTTAATAATGTTTATTATTTGTATTAGGAGTAATGGTGGGACTATCTACTCAGCCAGGATAGATCGTTACCCTGAAAGCACCACTTGTATTGGAATTATTGGAATGCTCATCTGCTAAGAAATAAGCTAGGGTATGAATAACCAAGTATAAAATGAGGAAGCATTTTTTTTATCATCGATTGTGATATATGCAGATTTCTATATTTAAGATGAACACATTACAATTATAACTTAAATGCCTAAGTATTATATGACCCAAAATAAAAAAAATCAAACATGGTTTCTCAAAGCTGAAAGATTTCTCATCTAGAAAAAAAGGGCAGCATTTGTTTGATATTTTGATGAATTATTAATTTTATCACAGCTAAGATGACAGCTAATATTAGAACATTGAATTATTAATTTTCAAATGTGCAATAAAAAGCAGAATAAACAAACTGAGATGTGTTTTACGTATGGGCTGCATTGCTTACATATTCTACTTAAGAAAAATATCAAAGGAACCAGAAGGAATTAAAAATCTTGTCACTTCTGATGAATTCTTTTACTCAGTACTTTGTGCCACTTTGAAATATAAGGTACAAATAACATCTGATAGTAAATGTGATTATTGAATGCTAAAGATCAACATTATCCATATTGCACATCTTTGTGTAAAAATTCGAAGCAGGATAGCTAAATTACAAAGCAATAATGAGAAATATCTGTGGTCTTAAAGAATTTACCTCTAATTTTCACAGGATTATTTTGAGAGATGAAAATTTTCTTCAGAATAGCTTTGTTATTTTTTGAGGCACTATTTATTTTTGTCCTGACAGTTACTCTTGTTACTTCATGGAACAAAACTCAAAGAGGTCTCAGTCTTCCTCAAATGTACAATGTTGAAGGTTCAGTCCAAAAACAAGGACAGACTCGATGTAGCTCTGTTGCACTGGGGGCCAGTGGCGATGTCCTGTCAAATATCTCCTCAAAAACCTCCCCTGAACTCTTGATCCTTCAAAGCCTTAACACTTGATTCCTGAATAAGAAAGTGTTTCCACAGTGTTTCCACATAAGCATTTAAGCAGTATAGAACAGAACCACCGCTCAGAGCAAAAGGACTGCTAGAGGACATGGAGAACTGACTGTACGGCAAACAGACTGATGGACATTTTTAAGGTATAATTTCTTGTTAGAAGAAAGCAGTTGTTTATCCCTGGCCTCACAAGGATTTAGCCCAGATGAAAAATGAATTTATATCCATTAAAATGTTCTTTATTATATCATTTACTATTTAGGCACATGGGTCAGGGGGTGCAAAAAAAAAAGTTTCACAGTACTGAAGTAGGACCCCAAGTAGAAAATGATTGGACTTATAGCTCATCTAATTTAGACAAGAATGATTGTAACCAGAAATGCTTTTGTGATAATATTCAAAACAGTAATGTTTAAACACTACTTTTATACCCCACATTGCCATGTATCACCCCACTGAGGGTTCCATGGAAGCTGGTAGGTTTTATTAGTAAATTGTATTATGGCATCTAATTTAAACACATGCTTTATTTGTTATATACGTCAAGTGACAAATTTACTAATAATCCAAATCACGTATGAAACAAGAACTAGGACCTCTTATCAACTCTGTAAAATAGATATTATAAATCATCTATTTTTAAAAGATTGAATAACTGGCCTAATATTGCATAACTGGGAAGAAGCTGAGGTAGAATTCAAATTTCTTTTTCAGATAATACATCACAAACTATTTTAAATTATTAAAGTGTCTGAGAACTTCATTTTAATTATTTGAAGCCATTTAAACAAATGCTAACTAAATCCTCACAATAACCTCTGACTCTCTACTATTACTTCAGTTTTACTTGAAAGTGGGACTGAGTACGAGAGGGTAAGTTGCTCATCACTCATAGGGCTAGACTTTGAACTCAGGATGTCTGACTCTCTCAACTGTGGTGTTGTATTCTCATGTGGTAGATTAGGCATATAGAACACAACATACTACATAATCTTGAAAATATTAAAAATTAGAGGCCAGAGCGACTGACAGACTCCATGGCTCCTGAATCCATCAGGAAGAGCTTTCAGTTTTCCTGAAATGAGAATGGACTCAATTCCCTTCTAGAATGTGGTAGGTTCTACTTTCCTCTTCATTTTCATTAATTGGGTGCAGCCTCCCTCTCTTTTCCCAGCCACTGACAGGAGTCAACAAGGAACCCCAGTACACTGAGTGTTCTAGAAAGACCTATGATCCTTGGTAATAGGCTCATTAATACTTTGGTCCTGATAGTCTCAAGGCCTATTCTTTGGTGGTCTTTATTCACATCTATCTCAGTTACCTTAATGAGCCCAAGTTCTAATTCCCTACCCTCCATTCCATACCCGTCTGCATATCTGCCCCCATTTCTATCCTTCTGATTTCTGAAATCTTTCCACCAGGTCCTCTTTGACTCCTGGCCAGTCTTCCAGCCCCTTCCTCTAGATCCATCCTCATCCTCTTCTCTGAATGTTCCTTTTTCCTTCTTGTTATAGAGGAACTCCAACTCTCTCCTGAGAGTCATTTTCCTCTTCAGCCTTTTCGAGTGGTACCTGATTTCTCTCCCATACTCATTTTATCATGGGGCATGAAGCTGTGGTACATCTTTACCTTGCTCTGCTACTAAACTCTTTTCCTCCACCCACTTCCCAGACAACACCCAGCTTTGAGTCTCTGATCATCTGACTGTCTCACTCAGGACCTCTCAAGTTGCAGTCCTTTACAGATGTTGTAGTCTCTTTTCCTCACTGATTAAAGGTTTAATTTGTAAGCTTGCTCTCATTTTCTTCAACTTTTCCAACATAATTCCTGAGGATTTCAATGTCCACATAGTCCTAGAGGATTCTTCCAATACCCTGACCTCTCCATTCGTTGGCCTTCTCCCTTCCAGTGATTTTAGTCTCTGTTTTTCCTCAGTCATCCACTCTCAAGGTCATATGCTAGATCTTGTCATTACCAATAACCCAACTCCTTCCATAATATCAATTTAAAGCCTTTCACTCTTGCATCACCATGGTCCACCTTTATAGTTAGTTTCTCAATTCCAACAGTTCTTCAGACATGCTTAAACATCCCATCAGATTTTCCTTTTCACACCCTTGAGCCCTTATTTATTATCTTATCCAGCTTAATTCCATGGCCCGTTATTATAATCACTCCCTTACATATAACCTCATTTCTCTTGTCATTTTCTCTCCTCATGGCAAAGCCACAACCTTAGTAAAATCTAGTAGGCTCTTAATGTTGTCAGGCAGTCATACCACTTTCTCCTAGTGCTTTCATTCTCTCATATTCCTAAATGACTACTTATGACCTACTCTTGTTTCCTCAACTTCCAACAACTCATGCTCACATATAACAGTCTTACTTCCTATTTCACTACAAAAACTGAAGCAACCAGAAGAAACATGGGCTTATTTGGCCCCCAGTTTACCTAAAAACAAGCAAATACTTCTTTTTACTTTGCTTTTGAACTACTTGGCCCTTTCTCTATTTTTTTTTTTTTTTTGTAGCAAAACTCATCAAAAGATGTCTATATTCACTGTCTCCAATGTTTCTCCTCTTTTAAACTCACTCGAATCAGTCTGTTATACCCACCATTCTGCCAGAATGAAATATCAATGACCTCCACCTAATTATATCTGGCACCTAATTCCTAGACCTCCTTTTATTGAGCTTAGCAGGGGCAATAAATGTGATTTTTCTATTTTCTTTGGAATACTTTCATTTGATTTCTAGTGCATCACATCTATTTTTTTCTCACCTCAATAGTTTTATTGTGTTTACTATGTTGATTCTTCATCTTTTCCCAGATCCTTTTTGAACACCTATTTGTCTCCCACTATACTTTCTCCAGTGATTTTCTCAAGATTTATGGCTTCTAATACTATGAATAAACATTGCTAAATGTTTATATCCATCCAAGACCTGTCACATGTACTGCAAACTCAAGTCCAACTGCATGGTGTTTATCTGTTTAAATATCTTCTAGGCAAATCAGATTTAACATGCCAAATTGGAATTCCTTATCATCTCCCAGTTACTTCTATACTTTTCCTCATTTCTCTTATGGATATTTGGTTAATATTTATTCCTCCTCACCCCACCCCCCCTTTTTTTAAATTATTTTTTACTCCACATCTAATCCATTAGCATATTCTATCAGTGCTATATTCAAAATATATCCAGATTACAGTTGCTTTCATTCTTAGGCTTCTAGTCTAATCCCTATCTATTATCACATATATTATTATAATAGCTTCAAAACTGGTTTTCCTGCCTTTGTTCTTGTTTCCTATAGCATAAATTGCTAGGCTTATATTTTACTTGAAGGTAGGTGCCCGACCAAGGACTAAAATTCCCAGCCTTGTAGGACATAGGCAGAACCATGTGAATAATTCTAGCCAATGGAAGGCAACTGAGTTGGTCATATTTTTGAGCTGAGGTTGTTGATTATGCATTACTCATTTCTCATGTTCCCTTCCCCAGAAGCCACAGAGATCTGTTGTGGAAGACCACTGTATCACAAGATGGAAGGAATATGGATCCATATGTCACTAATTAGAAGAGAGTGATCCAAGAGAGATACCTATCCAGGAACATCTATGTTGGGTTTTGTGCGAACAATAAACACACAATTTTAATAAGCCTTTGATATTTTCAGATTGTTACAACATATATTCTCTCTGATGCATTTCCTTATAGCCTATTCTCCACTAAGCTGTCTGAGTGATCTTGTTAAAACATAGCTCAAATACATCACTCTTCTGCTCACATACTTACTCTAGTCACACAGGCCTCTTAGCTATTCCTGGAATGCACTAACTGCTCTTCCACTTCAAGGCTTTTTACTCATTCTTTTCTATGCCTAGAGTGCTCTGCCACTAATTTTTTGTATGCCTGCTTCCTCATCTATTTTGTCACCCTCTTGGCCTTTCCTTGGCTAATTAAAATGAACTTACTACTATCTCACACAATATTTTATCTGCTTTGTCCATTTGAACTCCCACACCTAGGAATATACCTAGAACATTGTAGGAAATCAGTAAATATTTGTTTTTTTAAATGGAAGAATGAACTGATTCAACAAATTCATTACAGTTTTAATCTATTGAAACATTCAACGTTCATTGAGTTCAGTACATATGAGGTTCTCTGGCTTAGAGAACCCTAACCCACACACATATACACACCCCATCCTTTGCCTCTAACTTTTTGGGTATTGTTTTAATATCATTTCCTAAAGCCAGAAGTTCAATTCTCCTTTTTTGATGCCTTTCTTCCATTATCTATCATGCTCTGCTCATGCCATCATACAAATTTTTATATAAAAATTTTTATATTTTTGTCAACTTAGCTATTAGATTATGACAGACACGGTATGATGTTTGGAATATGCTTACATTGTCTGACTTGTGATCTTATACTCCTGTATTTCAGTATGAAAAGAACATGCCTTAAATGCATATTATTGCTGGTCCAAAGAAGAGAGATATGTGAAACAGATTTGAATTCAACCCACATACTGAAGCAAATCCAATTAAGCCTTGCCTAGATTACCCTAACTTTGGAGACCTGCAGATTGTGACTGAGATATAAGTGACTGAGTTTGGAGATGGTTTTTATGTGTAATTATTGTGAAAAGAACTAACTGATAGAGAACTAACTGTCCTTTTTTCATTCTTTTCTTCCCCCAAATTTTGAAAATATTTTATTTTCAGGCCAGAGAAGAAGTTTTACTTCTATATTTCTGATGAAAATACTAGAAATTTTAGAGGAGGGCAGGGAAAATGACAGAGTAGGAGGATCCTGAACTTACCTTGTCCTAGGGACACACCAAAACAACAACTACTGTTACAACTACCTCTGAAAATGATCCAAATGCTGGCAAAACAGATCTTCTACAACTAGTCATAGAGAGAGACTACATCCAAAAGGATAAAGGGAGCAGAGATAATGGGATCAGGAACCAAATCCCTGGCACAACTGACCAAAAATGGGAGACACATCACAAGCACCAAGAATTGAGAGGATTGGATCCCATACTAGGTATGCCTGGCCCTGGGGATGCACACTGAGAAGATGAGTCCCCATAATATCTGGCCTTGAAAATCAGCAGGGTTTAACTTCAGGAGAACCCAGGGGGCAATAAGAAACAGAGTCCCCAGTATTTTAAATAACTATACTGGAGATACAGACATGAAACAACAGCTTGGAAAGCACCTGGAATACATGTGAAGATTTACTGACTAATTTTAGGACATGCACTAAAGGGGCAAATTTCCCCTTTCTGCACATTTCCCCAAGAACAAAAGTTTGGTATTCCATTTTCTTGTGCTCCTCCAGCCTAGATAGCTGGATTCTTATGGGAGCCAGTTCTAACATTCTCCATTTACACTGGTGGCATGTGAGCTTCCCTGATGTTACCCTCCAGATCTGTCCCACCCAACCTGCCTGCCTTGGCAGGTCACCCTCCAACGTGGCTCCTGCCTCACTAAACCAGCAGGCAGCCTCAGCTGGTACTGGTGCCCCTCCAAAATGATTCCTGCCCTGGGGGTTGGAAGATAACCTTATATGCCAGCATGCACACATTTCTTGCAGCCAGGCCCTTTTGCTGGCTGAACAGGGAGCAAGCCCTACCTTCAGTGCACCCATAGCTGTCAGAGCTGTTGAATACAAACAGCCAGGATGTAGGTCAGCCTTGCACACTAGCAAGCTTATGGTACCTGTATCTGGGCTTCAACAGTGCAAGGAGAAAACTCTGACCAGTGTGCCCACAGTAGGCAAAGCAGGTCACTGCACTCAGCTTGGCCAAGTCCCAGCCCAACCACCAATGTGCCCACAGCAATCATAGCAACAACAGGGGGTTATATGCAGCCACAAACATCCCTGGAGACATCCCTGGAGTTCCTAATTCTGGAGACTGGGGAATTGAGATATAGGGCATCACAGAAACTCTACTACACAAAGCCAGTACTCTCAAGACCAGGAGGACATAGCTGACCTAATATATAGAAACAAATACAGAGAGTTAGACAAAATGAGGAGACAGAGGAATATGCCCCAAATGAAAGAACACGAAAAAAAATCACACACAAAAAACTAAAGAACAGGAAGATAAGCAATAAGACTTAAAGAGTTCTAAACAATGGTCATAATTGATACTGATTTTGAGAGAAGAGTGGATGAACTCAGAATTTCAACAAAGATATAAAAAAGTATAAAAAAATAATCAGGAGCTGAAGAATTCGATAACAAATGAAAAATATGCCAGAGGGAATCAAAAGCAGATTAGAGGATGCAGAACATATCAGTGATGTGGAAGACCATGTACTAGAAAGCAACCAAGCTGGACAGTAAATATAATAACAAATGAAAATAAGTTAAAGGAACTCAGAGATATCAAGCATAATGAACTTCATGTTACAGGAATCCCAGAAGGAGAAGAGAGAGAAGAGGGCAAAAACTTATTTGAAGAAATGATAGCTGGAAAATTCCCTTATCAGGGCAAAGAAACAGACATCTAGGTCTAGGAATCACAGAGAACCCCTAAAAAGTTGAATCCAAGAAGGTTGGCACCAAAACACATCACAATTAAAATGTCAGTAATCAGATAATCCTAAAAGCAATAAGAGAGAAGCAATAGGTAATGTACAAGGGAAACCCTATAAAGTTTCCCTTAATTTTGAGGAGAAAATGAAGTCCAGAAGAGAATGGCATGAAATATTCAAAGTGATGAAAGAAAATGAAAACAAAAACAAAAACAAAAATCTACAACCAAGAATACTATACCTGGCAAGGTTATCATTCAGAACTGAAGGAGAGATAAAGAGTTTTCCAGATAAACAAAAGTTAAAGGAATACATCACAACTAAACCAGCCTTAAAAAAGGTTAAAAATAATTCTTTAAGTGGCACCTGGGTGGCTCAGTCAGTTAAGCGTCTGCCTTCAGCTCAGGTCATGATCCCAGGATCCTGAGATCGAGCCCCATGTCAGGCTCCTTGCTCAGTGGAGAGCCTGCTTCTCCCTCTCCTTTTGCCTGCAGCTCCCCTTGCCTGTGCTCTTGCTATCTCTTGCTATCTCTCGCTATCTATCAAATAAATAAAATCTGGAAAAAAAGAATTCTTTAAATAGAAAGAAAAGGCCATAGTTGGAAGAAAATTATAAAAGGAAAAAATTCACATGTAACAGCAAACATAGAAAAAGATTAAGAACTTATAAAGCCAGTACGGAGGTTAAAACAAAAAAGTGGTAAAATTAAGTATACAAAAATTATTTAAGGGATACACAAAGTAAAAAGATAAAAAGTATGATATGTACATAAAACATGGAAGGGGGAATAAAAATTTAGTGCTTTATAATGTGCTCAAACTTAGAACATCAACTTAATGTAGACTGCTATACCCAGAGGATGTTATATATGAACCACATCATAACCACACATCAAGAACCTGTGATACACATACACACACACATATAAAGAGAAAGGAGTCCAAGCATAACAATAAAGAAAGCTATCAAACCATAAGGAAAGAGAGAAGGAAAAAAAACTATGAAAACCAGATAACGATTCATAAAATGGCAGGAATTGCATACCTATCAATAATTACTTTAAATGTAACTAGTCTAAATGCTCCAGTCAAAACACATACAATGGTAGAATAGATTAAAAAAAAAAAAAAAAAAGGACCCACCTATATTCTGTTTACAAGAGAGTACTTCAGACCTAAGGACATATAGAGACTGAAAATGAAGGGATGGAGAAGGATATTCCATGAAAATGGCAGGGAAAAAAAAAAAGACAAATTAGACTTTTTTTTTTTTTTTAAGATTTTATTTATTCATCTGACACAGAGAGAGACAGCGAGAGAGGGAACACAAGCAGGGGGAGTGGGAGAGGGGGAAGCAGGCTTCCCGCCAAGCAGGGAGCCCAATGTGGGGCTCAATCCCAGGACCCTGTGATCATGACCTGAGCCAAAGGCAGATGCTTAATGAACTGAGCCACCCAGGTGCCCCAAGACAAAATAGACTTTAAAACAGACTGTAACAAGAGACAAAGAAGGGTGTTACAAAATGATAAAAGTGTCAATCAAGTAAGAGGATATATCATTCATATATATATATACATATATATATATACACATATATATATATACATATATATATATATATATATATACACACCCAATATGAGGACATCTAAATACGTAAAGCAGATATTAATGGACACAAAGGGAGAAATTAACAGTAATACAATAATAGTAGGGGACTTAAACACCCTACTTACAACAGGGGATAATCAAGACAGAAAAATCAATAAAGAAACAATGTCTTTATACAACATATTAGACCAAATGAACTTGACAGCTACACACTGAAATTCCATCCAAAAACAACAGAATACAGATTATATTCAAGTACACATGGAACATTTTCCAGGATAGATCTCATGTTAGTCCACAAACAAGTCAATACATTTAAGAAGATTGAAATATATCATGCATCTTTTGTGACCATGACAGTATAAAACTAGAAATCAATCACAAGAAAAAAATACTGAAACAAAACAAAAAAAAACAAACCCCACAAACACATGCAAACTAAACAACATACTGTTAAATAGCCAATGGGTCAATGAAGAAATCAGGAAATCAAAAAATACATGGAGACAAATGGGAAAGTATCCAAAATCCTTGATATACAGCTAAAGCAGTTATAAGAGGGGAATTTATAGCTATCCAAGCCTAATTCAAGAAATAATAAAATTTCAAACAATCTAACTTTACACCTAAAGGAAATACAAAAAGAAGAACAAAGCCCAAAGTCAGTAGAAGAAAGAAAATAAATGTCAGAGTAGAAATAAATGAAATGTCTGCTAAAACACAATAGAAAAGATCAATGAAACCAAGAGATAGTTCTTTGAAAAGATAAAATGTATAAACCTTCATCCAGACTCATAAAAAAAAAAAAGAGAGGATCCAAATAAAAATCAGAAATAAAAGAAAAGTAATATCCAATACTACAGAAAAACAGAAGATTTTGAGGAACCACTGTGAACAATTATGTTCCAAACAATTGGACAACTTAGAAAAAAATGAATTTCTAGAAACACACATAGACAATCTGAAAATACCATTACTAGTGATAAAATTAAATTTAACCCCCCCAAAACAAACAAACAAAAAAACACATCCAACAAGGAAAATCCCAGACCCAGACAGCTTCACAGGTGAATTCTACCAAATATTTAATGAAAAATTAATACCTATTCTTCTCAAACTATTCAAAAAAAATAAAAGATGAAGGAGAGCTTCCAAATACATTCTACAAGGCTTGATATAAAATGAGACAGAGACTACAAATAAATAAAACTACAAAACTACAGGTAAATATCCCTAATGAAAACAAATGTAGCAAACCTCAACAAAATATTAGCAAACTGCATTTATCAATACATTAAAAGGATCATTTACCACGATCAAGTGGGCTTTATTCTAAGAATGCAAGGATGGTTCAATACTCACAAAACAATCAAGAGGAAACATCACATTAACAAGAGGAACAATAAAGACCATATGATCATCTCAATAGATGCAGAAAAGCATGTGACAAAATTCAACATCCATTCATGATATAAATCCTCCACAAATATGAGAAACCCACAACTAACATCATACTCAATTGTGAAAAACTGATAGTTTCTCCTCTAAGATCAGGAACAAGACAAAGATGTCCACTCTCACCACTTTTATCAACATAGTATTGAAAATCCTAGCCAAATCAATCCAGCAACATACATACATACATACATACATACATGCCTTCCAAATTGGAAAGTAAGAAGTTAAATTGTTAATATTTTCAGATAATACAATACAATACATGGAAAACCCTAAAGACTTTACCAAAAAACTATTAGAAGTAACAAGTGAATTCAGTAAATTTGCAGGATACAAAATACAGAAAAACTGGTTGTATTTCTATACACCAATAACAAAATAGCAAGAAAAGAAATTAAGAAAACAATTCCACTTACCATCATACTAAAAAGAATAAAATTCCTAGGAATAAACTTAACCAAGGAAGTGGAAGACCTGTACTCTGAAAACTATAAAACATTGATGAAAAAAAATTGAAGATGACAAAAACAAATGGAAAAAATATCCCATGATCAGGACTGGAAGAATTAGTATTGTTAAAGTGTCCATACTACCCAAAGCAATCTACAGATACAAATACAATTCCTATGAAAATGTCAACAGCATTTTTCACAGAACTAGAACAAATAATCCTAACATTTGTATGGAATCATAAAAGGCCCTGAATAGTCAAAACAATTTTGAGAAAAAAAGAATAAAGCTGAAGATATTGCAATCCCAGATTACAAGATACACTACAAAGACATAGTAACCAATACAATATGGTACCAGCATAAAATTAACATGCAGACCAATGAACAGCATGGAGAGGCCAGAAACAAAGCCACATTTATATGGTCAATTAATCAATGTAAAGGAGAAAGAATACACATGGGAAAAGACAGTCCCTTCAATAAATGGTGCTGGGAAAACTGGACAACTATATACAAAAGCATTATATTAGAGCACTTTCTTACACTATACACAAAATAAACTCAAAATGGATTAAAGATCTATATGTGAGATCTGAAACCATAAAACTCCCAGAAGAGAACACAGGCAGTAATTTCATTGACAATGGCTAATGTAATGTTTTTACAAATAGGTCTCCTCAGGCAAGGGAAACAAAAGCAAAAATAAACTACTGGGACTGTATCAAAAAGTTTTTGCATAGTGAAGTCAACAAAACAAAAAGGCAACCTACTGAATGGGAGAAGATAGTTGGAAATAATATATCTGATAAGGGGTTAATATTCAAAATATATAGGAACTCATGCAAATCAATACCAAAAAACAAATTATCTGATTAAAAATTGGCAGAAAACCTGAATAGACAGGCTTCCAAAGAAGACATACAAGTGACCATAGACATGAAAAGATGCTCAACACCACTAATCATCAGGAAAATGCAAATCAAACCCACAATGAGATATCACCCTACACTTTTCACAATGGCTAGAATAAAAAAGACAAGAAAAAACAAGTGTTGGCAAGAATGTAGAGCAAAGGGAACCTTTGTGCACTGGTGGTGGGAATGTAAATTGGTAAAGCCACTGTGGAAAACAGTATGGATATTTATCCAAAAATTAGGAATAGAATTACCATATGATCCAGTAGTTCCACTACTTGGGATTTGCCTCCAAAAAATGAAAACACTAATTCAAAATGATATATCCACCCCTCTGTTTATTGCAGCATTATTAACAATAGCCAAGATATGAAAGCCACCCAAGTGTCCACTGATGGATGAATGAAAAAATAGATTTATACACAGGCATGCACACACACACACACACACGAGTATTACTCAGCTATGAAAAAGGATGAAATCTTGCCATTTGTGACAACAGTGATGGACCTAGAGGGTATTATGCTAAGTGAAATAAGTCAGACAAAGAAAGACAAATACCATATGATTTCATTCAAATGTGAAATCTAATAAACAAAACAAATAATCAAAAAGAAGCATCAGACCTATAGAGAACAAACCAATGGTTGCCAAAGGCAGGGGGAAAGGGGAGGAGGAGATACATGCTTTCAGTTATGGAATGAATAAGTCACAGGAATAAAAGGTACAGCATAGGGAACATAGACCATGATATTTTAATAGTATTGTATGGTGACAGATGATAGCTACATTTGTGAGCAAAGCATAATGTATAGCTATTGAATCACTATGTTGTACATCTGAAACTTATGTAAATTGTGTGTCAACTATAATCAAATAAAGATATATATATATATATATATACATATATATAATAAATTTTAAAAATGCCATAAAAACATTAAAGTGGAAATGCCATATGATCTAGTAATTCCACTGTCGGTTTTTTTATTCAAAACAGAAACTGTAATTTGAAAAGATATTCACCTCTCTCTCTCTCTCTCTCTCTCTCTCTATACATATATCTCCATATGATGGAATATTACTCAGCCATAAAAAAGAATGAGATCTTGCTATTTGCCACAACATAGATGGGAATACAGGGTATTATGCTAAGTGAAATAATTCAGAGAAAAACAAGTACCATATGACTTCCCTTATATGTGGAATCTAAAAAACAAAACAGAAACAGACTCATAAATGTGGAGAACAAGCTGGTGGTTGCCAGAGGGAAGGTGGGTGGGGGGATGGGCAGAATAGATGAAGGAGATTAAGAGATACAAACTTCCAGTTATAGAATAAATAAGTCTTGGAGATGAAAAGTACAACATATGCAACAAATCCATAATATTGTAATGATGTATGGTGACTCTACTTATTGTGGTAAGCATGAGTAATGTATAGAACTGTCAAATCACTATGGTGTACACCTGATACTAAATACAACATTATATGTCAACCATGGTTTAATAAAAAAAAAAATACTACACATTTTACTGTTTTAAGCTAAATCACTGAGGAATGGGAAAAAGATGGGGTAAGTCACCTATGGATCCTTTAATTTATATAAAACCCTCTTAAATACCCCTTCTGTGAAATTGTTCCAATCAACATGTACATTAAAATGGCTAAAGAGGTTTCCACTTGAAACACAAAATCAAATTTTTTCCACTTGTGACCAAAACCCACATGTATCCTTTGGAACTGGGGATCAACAGAGTGAAACCACTCAGTTGGAGCTTATAAATGTTGTCAGTTCCCGAAGCTGCTGATTGCATTCTGGGAATCCAGGAATGTTTCAGGATAATAGCTAACTGCATGGAATTGAAAGGTAAAAACTAAACTTCTCTTACACATGGTACAGTCTTTGTGAGAACAACCTATCATTTATTTCCTCAAACACATTCAATACAACGTTTTTGCAGCCGAGGTACCTTTAGCCATGCAAAGCAGGATGTTATTCTCTTGTATCTGCTGCCAGAGGGACTGGAAGAGCAACAGCCTTAAAGGAAATGTAAACATCTTTCATTTAGCTAAATGGAGTGTGAACTAGAGTTGCTATATTAAAGAAGGAGCCAAAATAGACAAACATACACATGCATGCATACACACATGTGCATACACACACACACACACACACACACAATCTTCTAGCTCTCTTGATTCTATGAAAATTCGAAAGACAAATTCACATTTCTATCAGTTTGTCGTTTTATACTGTATAAAGATCACCTTATTGGAATTTACTCTTGCCATGTGATTCTTATATTTTAAAAATAGCAAACATTTATATAGCTCTTGCTATATGTGAGCCACTGTTCTAAGCATTTTATAATTAATTCACATTATTTTCTTTTTTTTTAAAGATTTTATTTATTTATTTATTTGAGAGAGAGAGACTGAGAGAGAGAGCACATGAGAGGGGGGAGGGTCAGAGGGAGAAGCAGACTCCCCGCCGAGCAGGGAGCCCGATGCGGGACTCGATCCAGGGACTCCAGGATCATGACCTGAGCTGAAGGCAGTCGCTTAACCAACTGAGCCACCCAGGCGCCCCAAATTCACATCATTTTCAACATAACCCTCTAAGGGAAGTAATTTTATTATCCTCATACAGCTCATGGTGTAACTATAACACAGAAAACTTAAGTGATTTTCCCAACATCACACAGTAAATGATAGAAGATTTGTTTCTAGAATCCATGTTCAAAAAACTGAAAAGCTTGTACATATTAAATCAATGCAAAAATCAGGCTGCAGTTTTTTAAAATGTGATTTATTTAAGAATGATGATTTCAGATCTCACTGTGTAGATAACTTAGTAAAAACAAAACAATTTAAAGGCTAGGATTCTTTTATCTATCTATTCATTGATTACTCTGTCTTATTTAAGTCTAATTATGAAAACCATTTACCTTTTTCTGTACACATCTTATTTAACTAACTGTAATGTGAATTCATCACACACATAGACAAAGCCTCACTTGAGGTATTAAGAGTGAGAAGGGAAAGAAAAGAGAAAAAAAAAATGCTGCCCAAATTAAGAAAGACAAATTACACAATAGTTATTTGTAAAACAGATCAATTTTTTTCAAGTACTATAAAGTCAAAGGAAAGATAAAAGACAGCAAGATAAATTCAGCAAGGTTTTAGCAATAACCACTATCATCTTTAGATCATTATTGGAGACTTAGCTCTATCTAAAGAGTGAAAGTGTGTATGTAAGAAACTTATTTATAGGTAGTTGAACATTCAGTATTTCAGATGTGTTAAGTACTTTACACATGATGTGGAGTACAAAGATAAAGCCACAGGGACTAAATAAGAGTTCTGGTCCAAGATGGCAATGTAGGAAGACCCTTTACTCACCTTCTCCATTGACATGCCAAACCAACACTGATTTATAGACCAATTCCTCCTGAAGAAAAACTGAGGACTGACTGAACAGTTTCTTCACAGCCAAAGACAGACCACACAGAGAACAGCAAAAGAGACAGAGGTACAGTAATGAAGGGAAATCCTCAGCCTGGAAGCTGCCAACTATTGTGGGGAAGGATGGGGCTGAGGGACCATGAGCAGATTCATCTACCCTGGGGCACAGAAAAAAAAAAAAAAAAAGCTGCTGTTTCAAATAGTAATCAGTATATAAAAGATCCAGCCTTAGAACTCCACCAGATGGGGGGGAGCTGCTGGAAATCTATCTGGGTCAGAGGGGCTGGCAAGCACCACAGGTGATGTTTGCCCCCAATCTTGATAGAGCAGAGAAGAGCAGTGTTCCAGGTGCCACAGCTGGCCTGCCACCTCACAAGCCCCGGACCTCTAGCCCACACCAGCCCTAGCCATAGCACAAAGGCAGCCCACAGTGTGGCACACACCAGAACGCTCCTTGTCAGTGCTCATTACACATTACAGCTCCAGTCACTGTGCCAAGGGGAAAGAGACACAAAGCACCCCAGAACACTCCAGGCCCATACCACTTTGGCTCCAGATAGCTTGCTAGGGCACCCCTGGAACACAGCATTCTGGGACCTCCTGACCCATGACTGCTTTGGCTCCAGCTACCTGGCCAACGTGCCTCTTCTGTGGAGCACCCCAGGACCCCCATCCTGTACCACACTTTGGCCCAGCTAATCTACCAAGGTGCCCTGAGTGTGGAGTGCCCTAGGACACCACAGCCCATGCTCCCTTGGCTCCAGTCACACTGCCAGGGCACTCCCTGTACTAAGGACCCCAGAGTACTCTGGCTTGCACCCATTTCAGCTTCGGCTGTCCTGCCAGGGTGCCCTCTGTGTGCAGAGCATTGGCACTGCCACAGTGCCCATTTCAGCTACAGCTGGCCTGCCAGGGTGCCACCTGGAGTATCCTGCCTTGGCTCCACCTGCCCTACCAGGGTACCTCCTGTGCAGAGCATTTGGTACCCCCTGGCTCATGCCCTGCTTCAGCTCCAGTTACCCTACCAGTGTGCCCTTTGTATGGAGAGCCATGGGATATCCTGGTTGCATCTACTTCAGCTTCAGCTATACTGTTAGGGTGCCCTCTGTATAGAGAAACCAGGGACTTCCTTGGCCCATGCCCACTTTAGTTTCACCTGTCCTGCCAGGGTACACTCTATGTTGAGAGCCCTGGACCCCCAGGCTTATACCCAATTAAGCTTCACCTATCCTGCCAGGGTATCCTCTGTGCAGAGAGCCCTGATTGCCCAAGCCCATGCCCACTTCAGCTCTGGCCATCCCTAAGAAACCCTAACACAGTGTGCCCCAGGACTCCCAGCCCACCCCAGCCACAGCTCCAACCAGCCAGCCAAAGTCACCTGGTATGCACACTCTATACAGGGGTTGACCATACATGAGACCATTCTTTCACATTTAGGAAAAGTATTTATTCTGCCTAATTCACAATTACAGAAAGTCAAGCAAAATGGACAGACATATGAATATGCTCCAAAAAAAAAAAAAAAGAACAACACAAAACCCCAAAAAAATAAATAAAATGAAGAGATGCATTATGTTTGATAAAGTGTTTCAAGTAATGATCATAAAGATGCTCACCAGACTGGAAAGAGGGTGGGGGATCTCAGAAATTCAACAATGAGATTGCAAATATAAAAAAGAACCAATCAGAGTTGAAGAAGAATACCATAACTAAAATTTAAAACAAACAAACAAACAAAAAAACACTAGAAGGAATCAACAATAGATTAGTAGATGCAGAAGAATAGATCAGTAATCTGGAAGACAGGGTAATGGAAAGC